GACGCCAAAGAGAAACTGTTCAAAAGCACCTGGTCGCGGTTCGTGTTTTATATTATTCCGGCAGAACCAACGCTTCTAAATGCAACGGATCTGGTGGTGTAATGTAGCAGCGTTCATGTCTTCTTCTTATGAGAATTTTGAAGCAAACTCTGAGTTCTTTGCGAGATTCCAACTGTGCACTCGTTAATGATTTGCATGGCCATTTCCACACTTTCTTCTCAACACCCTTAAATTCTGGCCACAAATTTGGCTACCTCCACACTAGCGGTCGAACAGTCATGAGAATGTTCATCAAATTTCATAATAAGCGTCATACTTGCTGTGTGAATCTTTGCCTTACAATGATCATTTAGTTCACAGCACCAAAATTTCGTTGTTCTGTCACTAGTCTTCCTGCCGAACACGTAGCAGAAGCCCCCAAAGCAAAATGTTTCCCAACTTTGTTTCGACAGTAGCACTGTCATCCTCAGTGCACTTAATGATTCGCGCGCGTCGTCTCTGAGAACGTAACATGCACTTAATGTCATGGTGGTGAAAACGTAATGGCGGCATTCTGTTGGTTCCATGGCTTCTGGTGGTTGTAGAAAATTGTATAATTGAATCGCAGTTCTTTGGAATTTAAATATCTGACCAAATTTTCTCGGTGTGTTCATAAAGAAGTACCTTTCTGTGATTCAAAAAAACAAAAAGGGAATTGAAATATATGACTGCAAGGGGCAGAGATTCCAATTCTCAGGTAAATGACTGTCGGCCGACTTAATGACTTCAAGCAGCCACTACGATGAAATCATAACATGACACTTCTGAGTTAATAAATTTTACAATCTGCACTGATTTATGACTTCCACCATCAATGCACTGCAATAATCAAACAAAATTTAGAAATTCAATGTTTTGAGAAGTTAATTATTATGCCCAAGGGAATGCTTTTTATTGACATGCAACATAATAAAATTAGTCACTAGGGAATTAGAGATAAACTTCTAACAGTTTCAAAAATTCGCGATTGCTAATGCTAACGTTGAGTCATACTGATTTATTGCGCTTGCGCAAACAGTGACAGTAAAATCATCAGATGAAGATGCGAACTTCGAAATTGTCATTTATGAGGAAAGTTTTGTATTTTGCTCACAAACAGCATTGGGGCGATGTATCAAATGAGGGATTAAATCAAGTAAATGACATAAATGACCATATGCAATTACATTAAGTTCGACCGACCAAATAACAGCGAGCAGACTTTAGCGACCTCTCGCAGTCACCATGATGGAATCATAAAATAACATGAAAATCACCTGCATTGATAGATTGACAATGGCGTCGCACTGTATTCTCAGTGCACTTTCCACTGATAGGCAATATGATGGGCGAAGTCAAATCATTAACACAGATCATCATTTGCCAATGACATTAATTCAAACTCCTCACGGCACCCTCTGCGCTGACATACTGACATCGCAGTCGTGTCAATGGAATTGCAATAAAAAATTCACTGGTTTGACAATGATATCGTACTTCCATTCCAGAAAGCCATCCATTGATATGTAACATGTGCTGAATTACGCATCTGATGCAGCATACTAATGTCCAGTCATACAGATTCATTACAATGACCGTAGGACCAAGCGCTGACACTAACAAGTGGTCTGGCCAAAATGTCACAGACCGTTGTCAAGAGACTCTAAATGTACGAATTTGCGTTAAGATTTAGTAATTCATCGTCAATGACAACGGTCAGCAGGAATTTCGAAATTACGTCAAGACTGAAAAAGCAGGAAGTAAAAGATGGCCAAATTTGAATAGGCATGCATGGATATTTTCGTCCATCATAAGTGGAAGTTACCAAAAAAGTTGGGCATCATTACCATCAGCATGAACGACATACCATTTACGGTTCTAGTGAATTACAGCATAATGGATTCATCCAGATTCACCCAGAACAGTGATTTTGTCTCGCATAGACTGACAACAAGTGTCATGGGCGATTTCTGATTATAGGTACTAAAATATTTTTAACAAGGGGTTCTGAAGATGGAGTAATTTATTCATGCGATGGTAGGCATAATGAAAAAAGCAGCAAAACAACGG